AGAATTTCCGTTGTTATTTTATTATCTATTTGTTAATTTATCTAATATTTTCGTTTTAAATTTCAATGAAAAATGTTCGGACGTTCCGTCGTTAAAATGTTAAACTTTTGAAAAGGCGTTCCAACTCAGCTACACCTGAAGATGGCCTATGGTATTATGGTGAAAAGGTTTTGTTTTGTTAAAAACCTTTCTCAGTAACAGAAGGAGTATTGATAGTTCATTAAGAAATTCAGAATTATCATAGGCATCTGGGAGACGGAGAAATTCTATCTATATTCGGTTTATGGCGTCTGACGTCTCCTTTCCCTCTCCAACTCTCTTTATCCATACACCATTCTTCTTTAATCCCGTTTTCCCTACATGCTTACTTTACTCCGTCGTACCAAGTTCGCCTGGGTCTTCCTCTCTTTTTTTCTTTTTTTTGTGGAATGTATTCCATTGACATTTTCGGGAATCTCTCATCACTCATTCTTTTCACATGCCCAAACCAAATAAGTTGTTTTCTCTGTATTTCTTCCAAAACCGTCTCCTTCAATCCCCTTAGGTCCCATATTCTAATTAGTTATTTTTTCTCTTTTCTAGATTCTGCACGATCTTCTTAACGCATCCATTTCAACTGTTGTTATTTTTCTCTTTTCTTCCCAGTCATTCTCCATGCCTCCGCTTCGTATAATAGAATGCTTTTAACAATAGCATTACATATATTTTTCTTGATCTAATTGTTTCTTCACTACACCATATTCTATTTAATCTTTTAACTGTTCTCTTACTTATGCTAATCTTGTACTAATTTCTAATGTATCATAATGCATCTCTTCCATCTTGATGAATTTGTATTCCAAGAAAATTGTAATGCTCATATCGCTCAATCTTTTCTTTTTCTTCCAGTGCCATGTCTCTTTTAGTCCCTCCTATGCATAAGTATTTTGTTTTACTCATATTTATATATAAACCTCCTTTAAAATACAGTCGACCCCCCATAACACTGTTGATTATTCTGTTTTATATGAATTCCATTTTGTACGAGTCACTTAGATTTTACAAATACGTGTGCCGGGTTGTGAAGGGCTCACGTATTTGTAAAATCGAAGTGACTCGTACAAAATGGAATTCATATAAAACGGAATAGTCAACAGTGTTATAGGGGGGTCGACTGTACTCCTTTTCTATTTTTCTTGTCATGTATTCCATATCATCTTCATCTTCTGCCATTACCACCTGATCATCTGCGAATTGCATTGTACGGTTCAGCTTACCGTTAATATTTATTCCCATATTACAACATTTCTTTTTCCGTATTTTCAATACTGCTTATACGTAGATTTTAAATAAAGTTGGTGAGATACATCTCTGTCTTAGTCGTTTTGATACCATAAATCTTTCTGATATTTTTTCCAATTTTTATTTTCACTATGTATTCTCTGTATAATTCTTTAACTGCTTTAATAACTGTGTTATTGATATTTATCTCTTTTAATGTCTCATATAGTTTTAATGTTGGGATATTATCACATGTCTTTTGTTAAGTCTGTAAACAACAAATGATTTTCCTGTCCTGTTGCTAATCTTTTTTCCATAATCTGTTTTATACAGAAAATATTGTCTATATGTGATCTTCTTGTTCTTATCCACTCTGCTCTTCGTTTTCTTTTGTTTGATATTCTTCTTCGATTAAATCTCTTATCATTCGTCCAAATAATCTACTAAATGTTGCTGTTACAGTAATTCCTTGATAGTTCTCACATTTTTGTCTGTCTTTTTTTTTATAGATACATGTCAAAAAGCCAATTTTCCATTCTTTTGGAATGTCTTCTTCATTAAGACACCTTTTCAATAATTTTGTTGCCATTCTATCAATAAATCATTTTCTGGTCCATTTTTTATCAGTTCTGCCGGTATTTCTCCAGGACCACTTTCTCTATTATTCTTCGGTTTCTTACACGCTTGTTTAATCTGTTTTGTCTCTAAATGAATTGGTACATCCTTTTCTACGTTTATATTTTCTGTCATAAATTGAATTTTATTTTCTGTTAATAAATTTTTATAATAATCTTTCCATTGTTTAACTGAGATAAACTGTTCTTTAAAAATGTTAGAAATGAAAGTAATAGTAATAAAGAATTTCCATACTTTAATGCATTTTCTTCCTCCTATATATGTTTCTATTTCTTTACAATTTCTATCCCAACCCAACGTTTTCTTTTCCAGAATTAATTTTTTTTGTTGATTTTCTAATTTCTTTATATCTTTATTCTATTCTTTTTTTTTTCGTGTTCATCCATTTTAAGTAAGTTACTTTTTTGTTTCATGTTTTCTACCTTTTTGTCCCACAGAATTTTTTAAAAGTTTTTCCATGTTTATTGATTTGTCCTAGAGCTTCATTTGCTGTTTTTATATTTTTGTATAAATTTATGGTGTTATCATATTCTTGTTCTTCCAATTTTTCATCTAATCTTGTCTGAAACAATCTTCTCGTACTTTCTTCTGCTACGCTTTCGAGATTAAATTTAAGATCTTTAATTACTTCCAGTTCATCAACCCCTGACTCTTTCTTTTTGTATCTGTTAAGTTCACAAAGACAATTTTTATTCTTTTTACTTTTTAACTATCTCTTGTTCCTTTGGTCTCATTCTTTAACATTCCATGTAGACAAATTCATTGTCCGATTACCTTGGCTTATTTTTTTTACCATATAATTCATTCGGTTTTCTTCCTGGAGCTTTCTGTTGCGATGTAAATTTTTTGCAGGAGATGAGGTGCAAACCTATCGTCCAAACCCCAAACCTAGAGGACCAGGGTAATTTAAATTTATTACTTTTCAAAAGTTTTTATTACCTGAAATTACTCTTGCGATACAAAATTCGTTCGGCTAATCCATTCCAATTTTTAAATTCCAATGAATTAGCCCGGAGAAATTAACCTTCGAAAATCGGCTGAAATTTCTGTGTAGGTATGTGGTCAGTCAGTGACTTTTAAACTGACATTAATTATAAAATGATTAATATTTCGCTTAATATCGTTAGTTAGCCTGACAGAATAGGTCATGTGATGAATTCTGCTCCGATTAAAGAATTATTATTTTTTGATAAATTGACGATAATATCACATAAGGTTTATGTAAAATAAATTACTTTTAATTCAACAATATATATATGCATACAATTACTGTAATGTTTTCTAAGTTAAAATATTCCAATTACAAAATGTAATACTGTAAACTAGCTACGGGAACAACAACTATAAAATAAAATTTTATATAAAACTTCATATAAACTTAAAATTTTATATTATAATAAAAATCTTTTCCATTATTATTGCCTTTTATTAGCTTTTGTTTTAAGCTATGAAGCGCAAAACACATTAAAGTTTACGAAAATTTGGCAACTTTACATTCGGGGTCAAATCAATATTTTAATAATAAAAACAACGAAATTTTAATGCTTTTGTTATCACAGATTGTAATATTCAATGATTGATTTATAAAAACTGTAAGTATTACTTGCATAATTATATAATAAGTAAACGAAAGTTTATAATTTAAAATTTGTAAAAATACAATATTAATTCTTTTAAAAAATAATATCGACAAAAACAGGAATAACAAATAGTTGAAGTTGTTAATCTCCAATGTTCCTATTTTACAATATTATAGGCCTATTTTAAAATATTGTTCAATTTTGTTATTATCTACATAAATTATGAAGTTAGAAAAGTATTAATTTTTTTTCAAAATCATGCCAAATAATTTTATTAAAAATTTATGTTTTTCAAAAATGAATTCATTATTTAACAAGCAGAAGATTGAGATTTAGTAAAAGGGTTAAAATATGCATGTTCTTGAGAATATATATATGTTAGTCGACAAGTAAGAACGCTCATACAATAACAGCATGTAATTTTAAAATTATTAACACTATAATTATTATAATGTGTTTTAAAGTACAACAAGAAATTATATATTGTGACATCATCACAATGCCGGGCTGCAATTATTAATCATATTTTTAATTTATTTAATTTAAAATATGTTTTCCACCTCAAATTAGTAGTGTCTCGCCCCTGTACATATTACTTTTCCTGTTAGCAATAAACTTTTGCCGGTCATTTATCTTACTCCTTCAGAGGGAAACTTGAATTTAAATGGCGTCATTTCCGGTGCAAAACGGGAGTTCTTATGTAGTTAATCGGGCATCCCGCCGCTAAGCTTCCCATATCTGGTCTCGGTTTTCGTGTATCTATATCCGTTCTCGAGATTAATGATGAAATAACACAGAGAGTGGGAACTTATGTTTACATTTTTTAAAATTGCAGCCCAATAACTTTCAGAGTGAAGATTTGCTGGAGTTCTGCGATTTTCTTTTAAACTGTAATTAAAGAAAATAAAGCATGGCACGTATTTTTGATAAAATATTTTGATTTTGAAGTCTACAGGTTATTATAAAACTTCAAAATGATATAGTAATAATGGCTGAATCCGGGAGTAACAGAATAAATGTACCTTAAAAATGCATTTTTGTTTGATATACTTGTTGTTCCGCAAATAAAACAAATTTCCTTGTGATGTTTTGAATATAAATATCTATCAATATTATTCGGTTTTCAATGTCAAAATTTTACAAAAATTTTGATAGTGAGTTTTTTTTAGGATAGATAACATGTATGTTTAAAAATATTTAACATGACCATAACAAGACAAGAATTTAATAATAATCTACATACCGCAAGTTTTATTATCTGTATTCAATCTAAACTCTTTGAAACAACCGCATTTCTGCTTTTCATTCTCTATGGTACATATCTGTTGACATGACGTATCTCCCATTTTGCAATAATTTTCTTTAATTTCTGAAAATATCTCAAAGTTTACAGTAATCATTTAAACAATTTATTAAATAAAATTTACAAAAATTCGATAGTAAGTTCTTTTTTAAAATAGATAAATGTAATTTTAAAAATATTTAAACATGACCATAACAAGAATTTAATAATAATCTACATACCGCAAGTTTTATTATCTGAATTCAATGTAAACTCTTTGAAACAACCGCATTTCTGCTTTTCATTCTCTATGGTACATGTCTGTTGACATGACGTATCTCCCATTTTGCAATAGTTTTCTTTAATTTCTGAAAATATCTCAAAGTTTACAGTAATCATTTAAACAATGTATTAAATAAAATTTACAGAAAATTTATTTTAGTCAATATTATATATATAAAGATTCATCATTGAATCTTGGTTTGATGACTTTTTAATTTAAAAAAGAAAGAAAATTTAATAAATTCCTTACCGACACATTTTTTCGAACTCGGATGTAAGTAATAACCTTTACCACAATCAAAACTGTATGAAGGTCTACCGAATGAATCAGCTTTTACATTGCATACGGCGTATTCCCCATAAAGTTCTTTACATTTATTTTCATTCACTGTAAAATTTTTACAAAATTAAATAAAACACAGAATTTGTATCAGTGTGCAGTGTTATTTTAAACTATTATATAATTACTATCTAATTTTATAAAACTTTGAATTTAAAATACATTTTGAATTTTAGTAAACATATAAACGTGTAAAGATTTTGATTTCGTATTTTCATTAGTTAAAATTATAGCATAGTTTTCATTGCAAAACAAATATTTATATATTCCAGTTAAACTCTATAAATAGAAACATGTTATTATATACTTTTATTTTAAATAAATTTAACACAAATTGATTAAAAATGTCTCTTCGCGCATTGTCCTAAACGAAAATATCCAAATTGTTATTAATATAAAAAAAAAACCTTTAATAATTATTAAAAATATTTTTATGATACTATATAACACTGTTTAAACAACGTAATGAATATAATTACATTAAAAATATATGAAATGGAATTTTGTACGCCGTAATAAGTAGCTGTTATAATAAATAAGATAAATAGATAAAATTTTCTTTAAGAATATGAACTTTATACTGCATATAAGTTTATATACGCTGTTATCCCTCAACATAACGGAGTGAAAACGTAAAGTGATCTGATAAAAACGTAAAGTGATGGTTCGTTGCATCCAAAGATGTTATTGCCAATTACAGTACGAACTTTATATGAAGTATGATAAAAGAGACAACCTGTCTTATGATAAATACGAAAGTGACGACTTTCAAGCTGACACGTAAAGAATTCTTGTCGACGCACTGCCTAATGTATATCAGAAGTCGACTAACAGAAGCAGTCTGATATTCTCGAATGCTATATTTTCATTCCGGCAGATGCTTTGGAACAAACGAATTTGGAATGTTCTTTCCAAACATTATGATAACAACATTCAAAATATATTCGGAATGTTGTTTTCATAATATACAGGACAGTAAACTAGAGGACATAGGCCTATAGTATATATAAATCTCTGATAAATATATTTTACAGATTTTTTCTAATACTATTCAGAATACAGTATGTTAAGTAATTCAAAACAAAAGATCACTTACCAACGCAGTTTGTGCCATCGTCTTTTAATTCCTCCATACACTTGCATTCACCTTCTTCACATTCTTTAAATGCATTACATACTTTACCTAAACATTTATTTTTATCTACACAAAAATAAATTGGAAGTTTATAAACGTTTATATCTGGACCACATATGAACTTTTAAGATTTTTTAATACGAAAAATTTACTTAAGCACTTATNCTTTATTATCAGTTCGAAATGGGGTGGTTCCATAATACCCGCAGTGTTCCATAATATTACCTTCTCCTCTATATGATATAGAATTTTGTACGCCGTAATAAGTAACTGTTATAAAAAATAAGATGAATAGATAAATTTTACTTTAAGAATATGAACTTTAAACTGCATATAGGTTTATATACGCTGTTAACCCTGAACATAACGGCGTAATAACGTATAGAGATCTGATAAGTACAACTACAGTACGAACTTTATATGAGATATGATAAAAGAAAAAACCTGTATTAGGATAAATACGAAAGTGACGACTTTCAAGCTGAGACGTAAACAACTGTTGTCGACGCACTGCCTAATGTATATCAGACGTCGACGAACAGAAGCAGTCTGATATTTTTGAATGCTATATTTTCATTTTGGAAGATGCTTTGAAACAAACGAATTTGGAGTGTTCTTTCCAAACACATTTATTCGAAATATATTCGGAATGTTTTTTTCATAATGTACAGGACAGTAAACTAGAGGATATACAGTATATATAAATCTCTGATAAATGTATTTTACAGATATTTTACTACAGTCGACCCCCCTATAAGATCATTCATTATTCCGTTTTATATGAATTCCATGTTGTACGAGTCACTTAGATTTTACAAATACATGTACCGGGCTGTGAAAGGCTGACGTATTTGTAAAATTTAAGTGACTCGTACAACATGGAATTCATATAAAACGGAATAATCAATGATCTTATAGGGGGGTCGACTGTAATATTATTGAAAATACAGTATGTTAAGTAATTCAAAACGAAAGATCACTTACCAACGCAGTTTGTACCATTGTCTTCTAATTTCCCCATACACTTGCATTCACCTTTTTTACATTCCTTAAATACACCACATACTTTACCTAAACATTTATCAATACCTACAAAAAAATAAATTGAATTTTATAAACTTTTATATCTCGACCTCTTATGAGAATTTAAGATTTTTTAATACGAAAAATTTACTTAAACACTTATTCTCTGAATAATCATAATATTGTTCCTCAGTGCAATTGCATTCGATTGCGTAAGTATCTTCAATATGTATACACTTAGCACCATCACCACAAACTTCGTTATTGCATTGATTTTTAACTGAAAAAGTTAACGTATTAAATAAAACTTTTGAAACTTTACAAATTAAATTGAATTCAACGTGAACAGAAAAACAGAAACAAACTTCGACATTTTCTTTTATTGCTGTCAAAATTATAATCTTTATGTGCACAGTCACATGTGATATTTTTTGATTCTACTTTGCATTTTGCGTTAATTTTCTTGCAAAATTCATTCCATGTCATTTTAGTTTCATCTTCAATTGTTTCACAGCGATCTGGAAGAAAAAAGTTTATGAACTATTCATAATATCTATTTCAATAATGTAATGTCCATAAATATACATGTTTATTATTTATAATTAAATTATTTTCTAATAAATTGCTATTTTCTCTTTCAGAGGGTGACACAGACTGGCAACGTTCTTATCGCGCTGAATTTAGCGATTTAGATGAGACAATAGACACTTCACAATTCAAGTAAGAGGAAATTCAACAGGCTTTCTGTTATCTCAAAAAAAGGCAAAGCTCCTGGCCCTGATGAAATTACTAATGAAATTGCACTCAATCTATGGGCTCTATTTCCGCAACACACATTTAATTTATATAATGTCTGTGTAAATCATTCAAGTTTTCCTCGTGCATGGAAACACGCACGGATTGTCCCTGTCCCAAAACCGGGCTCTTCAAGTGATGCGAGACCAATTTCTCTACTACTTGTATTGGGTAAGATACTCGAACGGTTGATGACCAACAGGCCCAATTGGCATGTTGAACATAATAAATGCCTAAGCAATAAACAGTACAGCTTTCGGCCACAACGATTGGCCGAGGATGCAATTGAATCTATGGTTAATACAGTTAAACGTTTACTTGATATATGTTCTTGGAATGAGCTTAGACATTTCTAAAGCATTTGACTCTGTTGGTGGCCATTTATTACACATCAATTGTGAAAGTTAAAATGTCCTTGTAACATCCTACAACTATTTCAGGATTATTTAAATGACCGTACTGCAACTATACAGTATGGACAGTATCACGTAAATAAAATCATTACAAAAGACTGCCTGTAGAGGTCTGTCTGTGGACCCCTGCTTTGGAATATCACTTTCAATGCCTTAAAGAAATGCTTGGACAAACAGATTCCCTTGCCCAGTGGCGTAGCGAACATAACTGGCGCCCCTCCCCCTCCAGAAACATATACAGTCGACCCCCCTATAATTACGGTCTCTATAGTTACGATTCCTATAAAACTACGAAAAAATAGCTACCGGTATCCGTAAAAAATAGTAAAAGTTCCCTATAAACACCTCAAACGTCATCGGGAAGCCGAACTACTTTCCCGCCGTCCGTAGCGCCACGCTACGGAGAGATTTCTATCGTCTGGACAGTATTATATAAATTATATATAAATTAGGTACTGTACATATAATTATATATTAATTATATATAAATTAGGTACTGTATATATAATTATATATTAACTTATTGTAACTTTGTTATAATTAAATATATAATTTCCGCCGTCTAGCGTGGCGCCACGCTACGGAGATTTTTACGCTAACTATCGTCTGTCAGTATGTAAATTAGGTACCGTAAGTCTAATACAGTACTGTAATTTTATACATTTCTTGTGAAAGAAACATTTCTTATTCAACGGCGATTAAAATTATTTATATTAATGATGTCTCCGAAGTTCTACGAAGTTTTCACAGAAAAATAAGTTGTTAGAAATCGGCCGCTCTTTGCTGAGCTGTTCCGCGACGAAAACAATGTTGAGCAATGGCAATGTCGAATGGTGACACTCGGTAAGTAATCCTACAATTTTTTGTTTATAGCGTAGTTTATACGGATTATTCCCAAAAAATATATACGTATTTTGGAAATGTTGAGTCGGATTAGTCTAGAATCGATTAATTTTATGGAAGAAAATCTTTCAAACAGCCGTAGTCCGTAAAGTTGACACGTGTCGGGTTGTGATTGGAAGGATTCGTAAGAAAGCGGATTCCTAGAGAATGGAACGTATCTCTATCTTATAGGGGGGTCGACTGTATAGTTTGCTTGGAGACCATTTGGGCGGCCCTTTGCGAGTGGTGCCCGGTGCATGATACATCCCCTTGAACCCCCCGCTACGTTTTGCCTATGCTGACGACGTCATAATGCTGCTAGGAGGTCGATCAAGGGCTGACCTTGAGTACAAAGGCAACAACCTGTTACAGCAATTTACACATGGTTCCCCATGTGTAAACACAAACATAAACACAAACTTAACTTCAATCCTCTAAAGACCAGGTACTGTTTTCAACAAACCAGGTAAGGTAAACACAACCTTTAACTCAGACTACCACACCTTAAAATGAATAACAACACAATCAAAGTTGAAAAAAGTCTCAAATACCTGGGTGTTATACTTGATTTCCGGTTCTCGTGGAATAAACATGTGGAATATATCTCTAACCGTATAGGATATATACAAGCTTGTACTTCAAGCTTTTGCACAAGAAGAGACTGGAAACTATCTGTAGATGCAATGTCCATTATTTATGACAGTATATATATTCCTATCATTACATATGCATGTGGAACTTGAAGATTAGCCACTCATAAGGTACATACTAAAAGGAAACTAGTCTCATCGCAAAGACGTGTCCTACTTCTCATAACCAAGGCATTTTGAACTGCAAGNACCTGTGATATCTACTACATCTACAGAAAATGTAAGTGGATAATGTAAATGCAGATGATTAATTTCAATTCAAATTTTGTTAACTGTATATTGATATAAATTTTTATTTTTTGAGAAATATTTAGAATTTTTTTAAATGTAAGAGAAATATTTTTTACTAATGAAATGCAATGTGAAATGCAGCTGAAATTAGAAACAAAATGAAAATATAATGACTGAATTTATGTGAGGGTTGTATTTCAGAATGCAGAATTGCTAAATAATATATGCTTTTGAGAGTTATTTCTACTGGAACATACCATTACACAATAAATAAAAAATAAAAAAATAACGATAAACATCAAATATCTGTATTTCTTAGAGTCATAGATGTATGCCTATTTCTGCACCCTTTTTATATAAAGCCTTTGAAAAAACTTTCAAAGAAGAAACTATTATTTTACAGCAATTTCTTATGCAAATTAGTTTGGAATGGTCGCTTAGGTGAAGAGAACGTTACTGTTTTAGATCTGAGTAATAGAATCCTTAAAACCTGAGCAGAAAATCTGGGCAGTGAATCATTTTTTGATACATGGGAACATTGTCATCTCGATGTATTTAGCTTTATAATTGAATTCGGTGAAGAGATGCGTAGAAAGTTAAATCCACAACTAGACGAGCGAGTTTGTGGCTGAGGTAACAAGAATCAGACAGAGGACTCTCGACATCAAACTCCAGTGAACAAGAGAAAAAATCCAGCAACATCAAGTGAAACCAACCTTCGAAAAGTCAAATAGGCAGTCTTGAAGACTTCGAGGAGTTCTATCAGTAAAATTAACTAGAAAACTAGAGTATCGGAAGCAGACTATGCATTCGAAAACTGTAGCAACGTATCCATGTGTTCCAAGCGATTCTTCGTGAAAACGAACAAAATAGACCTGAAATGGCAAAGGTAATTCTCAATCTAATCGAAGAGAAAGTTATGGATAGTCGATTTGTATTGTTTACAGATGAACTTCACTTTCATCTAAACTGATATATCAATCGACCAAATTATCAGTTTTCGGGAACCGAACCCCCAGGAACTCGTAAAGATGCTTCTGCATTCTCAGGAAACAAACAACTGTCTGGGTAGCAACGAATTACCAAGGCACAAATGCACCGATATTCTTCAACCAAACCATAAATAGACTGCTGTTTATTCCAGCATCCTCGAGAATAGAGTTTTATCATTTTTTATCAAGTTCAAAAATTCGGACAAAACATGGTATATGCAGGACACCATGGATTAGGCTTGACCACATACCGCTAGGATCAATATGGAACGTTTTTCAGTGCTATTGATGAACATTTGATATTCAACAAGATGTTCCAGTCGTTCCAGAAAGATGTGAAATGGATTCCCTTTTTATCAGATCTGAATCTTTGTGACTATTTCCTGGGGTTATGTGAAGGATAGAGTGTATAGGATGAGCCGTAGAACCATCAGCGATATGGAGGAAGCCATTGTGAGTATTTTTGACGAGATTATACACTATACTCTCAAAATAACGATTAAAGATTTCAAAACAAGACTATATTTATCGATTGACACCGAAGATGGACACTTTCCAGAATTTTATTTAGCCCGAAAAATAAAACAGACATATCTTCACATTGAGGGGAAAAAATGTATGTTTATTAAACAACACGATGAGTTTAAAACAATAACCGAAAAATGACTCATTTTTTGCTCGATATTCTACATACAGGCAATCGTGTTCATATATACTGATATGCAAATTACAGTGACATCATAACATAACTTTTCAGATGATGGTATAGTTATAGTGTCATTGAGCTGCAATTTCATTTGACAATGGAAAGTGGCCCACCGAACAACACACTTTTACAGGAAAGGCTTATTTCAAAAATAACTATTGTGTCGTTGCTATACAGCGTATATGCATGCGACACTTCAACTTGGGTCGTCATGACAACACGCCAGATAGTCGCATAATTGGAGTTGCGTCCGTTTCTTTAGATCTATTGCATCAACCTGTATTCATAAACCAGGGCGGAGTAAAAGAATAGTGCAGACATCAATGGCGATTGAATCTGTCAAAAAGGCACTCACTTCGCTAATATTTTTTGATTTGTCTGTTAAATATATAATTTGATATTTAATTTTCTTTCAAATTTTTCAAAATATACTGAAGAATATATGTAAATAATCTAATATTCTTACTAGTATATTATATTTTAACATTAATATAAACGTTTCCGCAAATTATACAAGAAAAAAAAAATGAAAATCTTTCATATATTTGAAAGGACGCTCTTATGTATACTAGAGTGCTTTCAGTAGTTATATTTTCGTTACATTTAGCTGGAGTTTTAAAGATAATACAAATAATTATTTATTGTGATATCGTCGCAATGCTGTGTTGCAACTTTCAATCATATTTTTAACTTATTTAATTTAAAATATATGCTCTCGACCTCAAATTAGTAGTGTCTTGTTCCTGTACTGTACATCATATTTTTCCTTTAACAATAGAATAATGCCAGTCATCTATCTAACTGCTTACAGGGGAAAATGTTTGAATTAAAATCACGTGATTTTTGATCCGGCTCGAAGGTTTATATATAGTTAATCGGAACCTACTTCCATTAAGCTTTCCATATCTGATCTCTTTTTTCATCTATCCTACTACGTTCTCGAAATTAAGGACAGAGATAGAGAGACATACAGCCGACAGTGGGAATTTACAGATCTACAATTCTTTTTTAAATTGCAGCCTAATTAATATAAATATTTAATTTTTATGTAGTTATTGAACTTAATTCCAGAGTACTGTATTTTCTCATACTCCCGTAAAGCAGTTGCAGTTCTGATTCCCTTAATACTGCGGCTTCTGCTATGTTTTAATAAAAATTAATTCGCATTTTGATTCCGAACGAAAAGCGGAGATATGAATATTGCGCGTGCACACGCACACGCACAAATGCCAAACAAGTCTGAAATGTATAGGAGAGCGCTGTATCTACTAGTACAGTATGAACCAAAATGAAATATGTGAATTCTGTAATAACTGATTTCTCTAGAAAATTCAGATAACATGCCAAACGTCACTAATGTTTAAAAACATTTTAATTACAAAACGTGCTTACATTACGCTGTTTTTGTATCTGGAACGCTCGATCAAAAAATACCGTCCAGTCTTTCACTTTATTTCAAAACAGACTTTCAATCGCATCAGCAGATCTACAAATTATAAATTGCGAAGTTCTCAAAGCATCTCGCACAAACTTTATGCATTTTCCATAAGATTGGTGCGAGATGCTTTGAAAACAAACCTTTAGATATAAGCAATATAGTTAAGAAATACATTAGCTTGTCATCCCAGTGATTCTATCATAATGGATTTTACATTCCGTGGCAGCGTTTAGCAGAGAGATTTTACAAATGAACATATGCGTTTCACGATTACAAAAACACTGCAAATATTTGCGGTTCAATTTCACATAAGTGTTCGACGTTAGAAAAAGTAGTGGACAGATTGCATGAAACGAAAGACTCGTCGCAAAAACGATTAAACAGATTGCACGAATGATCGGAAGGATTTCACCTTAAACGTGGTAGAAAATACGACTTATCATGCAAAATAGAGAAATCGAATACCACAATTTAATGAAATGATTTCACCAAATTAAGGACAAATCAGTATGTTGCTCTCGCGAAAATTATTTTTCTTTTATTCTGTTGCGTTATGCGCTATACATGTATGTAAGAAGTAACACACACTGAATAATACTGTATAAAGAACTAAATTATATTTTCTATCATTCCGACTTCGAAAATTCAGTGTCTCGCTGATATAAAGGTAGACATAAATTATATAAAACGGATACTTCTCACTTTCACAAAAGAATTTCAACAGTTAATGTTTGATGAAGTTATACTAAGCGTAATGCATTATATGCTACTTGGAGTATAACTCTCATATGCAGGTAATAATGTAAAATTCAATGTCCGAATTTACTCTAGCGTCGATGACACATCAACTCATCAGATGTTGTAGGTTAAGGTGTAACATTGTAGTATATGCTTTTGATTGCGGAGAAGTATTCCTCTATAGCAGGGATTCCCAACTTGTGTTTCGCGGAACCCTAGGGTTTCACAATAAAATCAGTTGAATCTAGTGATGTATGAATGTCCCTATGCAGATTTGAAACATGAGGTGTAATTGTTGTAGTCTCGGACAGGGTTTTCTTATGATATCCTATACACGTGCTAGGGTTATTTATAAACAGTGAGGACCGATTTATTGGTAATTGAAATCGTTATATAATGTTTGAAAAGATAATAAAAATTATAAAAACGACAACACTCATCCTAAAGCCAAAAACTCATTTTAAAAAATAACCTTAAAAGTATCCAACATATAAATCATGAGTCACGGCAAGTAAAAAAGTCACTGACAGACTATATATACATGGATAAGATTTGCCGATTTTCAGAGGCCGATTTCTTTTTACTCCAAACACCTGAAGTAATTCCGAATATCTCGTTCGAAAGAAAATTCTTTTCTTAGGTAGAGTGCAAAATTTTAAGATTTTCTATAAAGGACTGCTGAAAAATAAGCAATTAAAATGTGTAAATTCGTCAAAACTCTATATTTCTTTTTCTTCATCCGGCACTGCAGATGCTAGAGAAAACTCTACTAGGTCTAGAAAGTCCACATTTTAAACTTAAGCCTTTCTCGTTACATCGTTAATTTTAATTCTATACAAAGCTTTACATCGCAAAAATGATTTACTTTTTAATGTTTCGAATTAAATAATTCGCAATATATTCTAACAGCTGCATAGAGATTTGTCATTTTGGAATTGCAGCGCTGCTTCGTGTGCGTTGCTAATATACCTTCATTATCAATTGCAATAGCGCTGAATTTAACAAGCCGTATATAGGCTAAAATAAAACTAACGATCAGTCTGTTTGTTAGCTTGGACTTCTTGCCATATACCGAGAAAACGCCTGAACATATTTTATATGAACTTCATATTTTGAATATATTGATTCGGGAGAAGATTTAAATGTACATATGATCTCAAAATGTACATTATATAAATTAAACTATAGTGGAATTCTGTCTGTCTCTTTGCGACACATATCAATAAGCAGCTGTTCCGTCAAACGATTATTTATAAGCAGGTTTTAATATTGAACTGTAATATCAGATTTGGAGAACTAATATTTAAAAGTAATCAGTGAGAAATTAGCGAAACATGCGAGTACTTGAAAAAAGTATGTGCTAGATAGCACTATATATATATATGCATAGCGGATATTTTGAAGTGTTCGTGTATTCGGTTACTTAAGTTTAACTATATTGGTATAAGTTTCATATATATCTATACATATAAAAGTCAAAATATGTATGCATGTTAATTAAGTAAAGGTTTCTATACCGTTTAATGTATCTGTACCAAATTTGGCATGAATAATCTTCGATAATCTAATAAAAATACTATGGTTATTTCCAAATCGACCATTCCTAAAGCATGTCTCCTCTAAACTTAGATCCGAGTAATATTTTTGTGTTTGCAGTTTTATTATTCTAAATATTCAATAAATGTACAGTACAGTACATTTTAGTACTAGAACCATTGTTTTTATCACCCTTCACTGCCCAAATTTATCGATCCCCACCTCTCAAAACCCGAAGCAACGCTGAGCACACACAGCTAGTGATTAATAATAAATGACTGTTAACATGACAGGTTACTAATTTTAGTAACTAATGATTAATGAAGAAATATTTATAAAGTAGTTATGCAGAAGTTTTTATTTCTAAATGTTTACAAGCAGTTTTCAACTCCCAGACAACTTAGGCCTACTCTTCATATGTGAAACTCACAATTTGATACTTTTTCAGCCACAAATAAAAACTATTAACTATTATATAATGACACTTTCTAGCATTTTAGTTTTATTAACATAAAGATTATTTGCAAAATTTTGGCTTGCTTTCTCTTTAATTTTTGATTTCAATGAAATTTTCTAACTCTATTCGTTGTAATTCGTGCATATATATACTGTGGTCATACTAACCCTGCCGCTAAATAAACTTATCACGTATAGCATAAGAGCTAGAAATCCGCGCTCTATTAATAACAATAAATTAATTTTATTAATTTTAAAATGTTCGGTTATTGAGATTAAAAATATAATTACTTACGAATACACTTTGATTTATCGTCTGGAGCAACATCATATTCGTCTAAACAACTGTCACATCTATAAAACTTTCCTTCTTCAGTAGGTTCGCATGTCTTGTTTTGATCTTTGCAATCTACGAATCCTGTTCGATCTTTTTCACAAAAATCTAAGAAAAAATAAAATGTCGAAAAAGTGTATTATTAAAATAAGTAATTCGATTTAATAATTTTTACGTTCAATATTTTATAAACATGTGTTTACAAACGATATATTATCGGAAAATTAATTAATTTTGTAAGTGTATAATAAAGATAGCGTAAAGTTCTTTTAAATTCCAATTAATAAATGAAAATAAATATACAATGAACTGTACAAGTCTTCATTATAAACAGCAACTTAATATTAATTAAGTATAATTTGTGTTTTACTTATGATAAACATTGTCTTGTAACTTTTTAATAGGCCTACAGCTTTTATTTGTAAAAAAAGCAACGAAATTTATATTCGTTGTGTTTATAATTGAACAAAAAAAAACTTTTTTCATTTAAATTTTCTTTACATAATAGTAAATTTATTATTCGTTTTCCTGCAACTAAAAATGTACTGAAAGAGTGTCTACTACTCTCAAGAAATTGAGAAACCCTTTAAGGAAATTTTAACAAAAACTACGGCCTTATACAGTGCTTAGCAGGTGGAAGAAGGGAGAGAGAAAGAGGATGGGGTGATAGACATGAGAGATAGGAAGTATCCTCTCTAAACGGCTTACGTTTGATTACTACTTCCTTTGCGTTTAAAGCAGGAAAATTTTTGTATTGTAAAAAGAAGCACGAGCTACCGACATTCGAATTACAGCGAAGCCCTTGCAAATATTTCTTTCAATATCGATTGTCTTATTCCATTTCTCTTGAAAACTTGACCATATACAGTTTACCTTAACCTATATACAAGTATGTTTCGTTCAACACGATTTCGCTCTAAAACGGTTCGAGAATTTGAAAAATCCTCCGTAAAAAATTTCACAATTTTTAAATGTAAACTCTGTCATTTGATTTTTTTTTTATTCAAGTAAGCATGCTTTTCGTCTCAAATTTGCCCACGGATGTTTAGAATACTGAAATTTTCCATTTGTTTTGTGCCTTTTGTTAGTTAGTTCAGTTTTTCTTCTTCGTTCTGTTCCTCGTTAGTTCAGTTTTTTTCCTGTCAATCGGATGTTGTTGTCGTTGCTTTTAGATTTTAGCATTTAACCCAGTTACTATTTTGTTTTTATAGATTAATCTTCGTATTTAGTAAAGCTTACTTAAACATTTTTAAGTACGTGTCATTAAACTATTTTTAATAGTAGGTAAGTAATCATACGTAAAAGTGATGAACGAAATACGGTGGTATCTCGGTACTCGAACTGTTCCTAACTCGAAAAATTTGGTATTCGAACACAAATTCTGGAAAAAAACACGCTCGGTACTCCACTGAACAAACGCAACCCATTAGAACAAATTTTCGATTAACAACATACTGTATTTTTATTTTCTCATCCATAAAAAATTTCATGATAATAATATAAAAATGAAGACGTTGCTAATATTACTGATCAGGTTCAATAAAAAGGCTCAAAAGATGACGATACTTCGTAAAAAGAAAACGTAATAATTTAACTAAAATTAATATTAACGCGTGATACAGTACTTTTAATTGTGATTGTTAATTAACTACTGATTAAAAATAAATTGTTGATTGCTTATATTAATAAATTTTATCTTAATGACAAAAATACAATATATTTTTGTTAACTTTTGGAACTTAATTTTATGTTTGGCACTAGTCATTTATTTAGCATGGCATGAATTCGGAACGTTTTCGGAACGTAACTATTGTTTATACCAGAGATACCTGTACTTTTATGTATTATACCTCGCATAAAAACCTTTCAAGATATAATACGTTAATGTATTATATTATACACTGTGTCTGTTACTGTATGTAAGATAAGCACGTTTTCGAACAAAGGCAAGAATGGACTGCTTATGCGGAGTAAAATGTCGCATTAATTTAGCATTCTCCACGGAAATTAGCAAACCGTCAGGGACGAAGTTCTCCTAGTAGGCCTATGTCGAAAGTGGGGCCCTGCGGACATTTCTTACTGATACGTGCCCAGCAGCACCACTTAATTAGGAACAGAAGAGAAGCATACGAGACGTCTGTGAAATCGTTGTAGCAAGAATGCTACATGCCATCCATACTCAACCATGTTCAACTTCTACATTTTTTCATTCATATTGAAGGCGGTCGTTTTCAACATTTCTGTAACAAAATTAACTTTTTTTTTTTGTCTACATTTCTATAATGTTGTTTCATATCCTTTACAGTGAGAAAATGTTCGCATATTCTGCTAAATTGAAATCTTTTCGGTTATTATTTTAGCACTTGAAACGAACGTGCACCAAATGCATACACACTTAAAATGCTGGAAAGATCTCCTTTTGCTCCTGAACAGATATTTAAGTGGACTAGCATATATTTTCAAATATAGTATGTACTTGTATGTAAGAAAGTATATACTTAACATTACTTTTATGAATAATTTTTAAGAGTTAAAAATCTACTCACGGACACAATTATTACCATCTTCTTCGAAACCTTTCAAGCAATTTGTGCAACGAAAAAATGGTTCTTCTTTATAAAATTCGCATAATCTATTGCTTTTAAAGCAGTAATTATATCCTGTTTCGTTTTTTTCACAATTACCTAGTAAGACATAATCAAAACTTGTAAATGTTGTAGGTAATAATAGCAATAAATGTAAAAAATATCAAATTTAAAATATCAGACAGTTTCAGATCAGACTTCATAATCGTTTATTTGCCAATAGTCTAACATCATTGTGTATTAATTACAATGAAAAACTTTTCTATAAATTTTTTATGGTTAATAATAATAAAATTTAAAAATAATCATTGCATTTTAAAAGTAAAAAGTCATTTTAATTGCTACATTTGTGAGACCCGAAAGGCCCTGGGTCTAATTTAATAATTTTTGTTGTTGTCGAAACCGTGTTGTATTTATGTATTGTATACTGGCACAATGAAGTGACTTTTCTTCAACACTAGGCAAGTTTTAATCTTTATTCAGTAGAACGCTTTGCTATACATCTACGTTTCGGGCATTTGCCCCTCCTCAGCCAACTAAATATATATAAAATGTTATATAGATACAACCGAACACAAATAAAAAACTAAAAAACGAACAAAAAATTTTTTCTGAAACATACCTCACTTCGATACAAACACCAAATATACAGTAGAACACCAGACGACCCATAGGTTTACATAACGTTTCCACCATAAATTCCGTTTTATTTTTACAATAACATAATTTGTTATCTTAATTTTTACTACATGGACAAAATAATTGATAAACTTTACAGATTTAAAATCTAAAAATTACAAATTTCAACTATTACCTAAAGTCGTACCATTCTTATCCGTTCTTTCAAGCGTATCTCATAAGCCTTTCCTGTCACACCGTCAACTAGTTAGACGATTTGCATATATTACGATGTGCCGTGATTTGATGAGCTAACAGGTCAATCAATAAACATTTGTAAGCTTGGAGGAAAATATAAAAACTATTTTTTGATATTGTAAAGCACCATTATCTTTTAAATTTTATCCTGCGTATTTTCCGAACCTTCGTCCGTTTATCCAATTTACATATGACATCA